TTTTGGTCCTTCATGGGAATGGAGCAAATTTGCCCAGTGAATCTGGAAACTGGAAGCTTGGTGACACAGCTCTTAGTGATGCGAAGGAAAGCAACTCTCATAGGTGTCCTTTGGTTGTCCTTTCCCCTGGCTTCTACCTGCCCCCTTGTGCAGTCTCCCCAGGCTGCTTTTCTAACCTGTCCTGTAAAGCGTTTGCATTCACTGCAGGCTTTCTCAGAGCGCCCTGCGGCAGAAATCTGAGCAACCTATTTTCCTTCTCAAGGTGGCAAATTGCAGCTTGCAGGAGGAGAAGTTTCATAGAATCATAGAATATTGTGAGTGGGAAGGGACCCACCAGGATGATGGAGTCCAACTCCTGTCCCTGCACAGGACAATCCCAACATTCACACCATGTCCCTGAGGGCCTTGGCCAAATGCTGCTGGAATCTTGTCAGGCTTGGTGCCATGAGCACCTCCCTGGGGAGCCTGTTCCAGTGCTCCACCACCCTCTGCCTCAAGAACCTTTTCCTCATGGCCAACCTCACCCTCCCCTGCCACATCTTCCTGCCATTGCCTCTGCTCCTGGCATTCGTTGGTGGCCAGAGAGAAGAGATCAGCGCCTGCCCCTCCTCTGCCCCTTGGGAGGAAGTTCTAGACCCCCATGAGATCTCCTCTCAGTCTCCTCTCCTCCAGGCTGAACAAACCAAGTGCCTTCAGCCTCTCCTCCTATGGCTTCTCCTCTAAACCCTTCACCAACCTTGCTCTCAGTGAAGACAGCCCAAGGCAGGCTGTTGCTCTGCAGGTCCCCAGCATGAAGCAGTTTGCTCTGGAGGACAGGAGGATTTGGGAAAAGAGATCCAAGTCCCTTGTGAAGCTCGTAGGCTCCAGTGAAAAACATGTGTCCAGTGTCTGACCAAACACCTGAGAGTTTTTGGCCTGACCAGCAGGGAACCCACAGCTTCCACTGAACTAAGCAGCAGCTGCTGCAGGCACTTGGCATCACGGGGTCAGGCCTATGTTCTCACCAG